GCTGGATTTTCCCTCTGAGAAAAAGACAGTAATAATACCATGAATTCTAGTGTGCACACTGTACACTGAAAAAAAAATTATCTCTGAAATCCACACCTCTATCATTGTGACAAGCACTACATATCCATCATAGAAAGGTGTCAAGGAACAAATGCTAGTTGCCTCTTTTGAAAGCTGTCCATCTTGAGAAACTCTTACTGGCAAATAAATGTTTTTCTCAGCTTGATGGGCTCATAACCAGTGTTCCCAAAATGAAACTTACAACAATTGACTCCCTCTGTCGAATTTTAATTTTGCTGGGAGGGGTGCAGAATTTGAACTTGTATTTTATTTCTTTTTGTGGTGCCAATTTCAAATGTTTTTTCCCACCTTTGCTCATGTCAGTTATCATTTTCTAATTTCAAAATATCACAAACAACAGATACTAATCATTATTAAATGGGTTTTTGCTTAAAAAGTTGACAAACACATCTGATATGATTCAATTTTTTTATTTACTGGCAAACAGGTTAATAAAAAAACTAGGAAATACAAGTACATCTGTAAATAATAATAAAAANATCATTTTCTAATTTCAAAATATCACAAACAACAGATACTAATCATTATTAAATGGGTTTTTGCTTAAAAAGTTGACAAACACATCTGATATGATTCAATTTTTTTATTTACTGGCAAACAGGTTAATAAAAAAACTAGGAAATACAAGTACATCTGTAAATAATAATAAAAATATTAGTTTTCTAGAATTGTTATTTTGTTTATTTATTTATTTGTTTATTTTATCGCTTAGACCAGGTTGCATGAAACAAGTCATCAAAGGTGACATGGTAAACCGAAGGAAGAAAATGTTGAGAATCACATTACTACAAAATCTAACATGACCAGCTATCACACTCAACCCCCTTCCCATTTCCCTTTTCAAATTATACTACTGAACTCTGTTAGAGTCGAAAGGTTGCATGACAAAGCAAATACAAATGATCCTTACCACCGCTCCCTCAGGGTCCTGGTAGTCCCTCAGGTTTTCGTCAATAAGTTCCCTCACTGCTTCCTTTAGGGATGTGGGGAAAACATAGGTGGAGCTTGCGCGTCCCCGAAACTCCCCCCGCCGATGTGATTTCCGTCATAAGGGACAAAAAAGGAAAATTAGCAAAGAGTGAACAAGATCAATGCAAAACATAAACGCATTGTGACGCCGAGAAAAGAAATAATTGTCCTTCATTTGCAAATTGTGATTGGTTTGAATCTGGCACAAAGCTCAACAATATTACGCATTTTGCTACAGCGACGAACTTTTTGGCATAGAATTAGTTATCTATCGATGCAGGATGGGGGAAACTAAATTGCGCTTCAGTTTTCAAACAAAAATGCCTCGTGGCTGGACCTTGGACCACATCAGAAATTCAAGCAGAAAAAAGAAACAACTATAGGCAAATAAATCAGCATGAGGAAATATTAGTAAGGGAGTGTTTTTACGTAAGGTAACAAAGGTTTCCTTCCACCTACCCAAAGAATGCTAAACAAGCGGCGGCACACTCGCCAGCAGCATGCCTCTGGCATTTTGTCGACATTTCGCCTTATTCTGTTCAAAATTTGGTGAAGGCCTATCGGTGTGCAATTAAAACTAAAATGAAAATATAGAAATCTTGGTTCTTTTCATTCAAAATAGCACAAACACAACTAGTTCAGTCAAAATCATGTGAAAAATTTCCATATTTACTTGTGTTCTCAAAAGGCAGCTTCTAGGGCTTCCATGTTCACATGGACGGTAGAGCATGAAAGAGGATGTCAATACTCAGCTCCAAAGTTTTATTTCCATTCTAAAAGAGCGGTCTCAGCTTTCAAATGAAAGCAAGAATTATTAACAGATCTGTCAACATTATACTCTTTGGGAAATTCCATGCGAGCATGAAATTATCAGATTAAACGAGACTTACCTGTAAGTTGAAGTTTGATCAAGATTCTATCTTGTCATCAGTCCGGAACGAAGGAGTCACATGCGAAGCGCATGCGCGTTGCTGATCAGTATTCAACGTGAGTGGTGCAGGAGAAAATAGGAACGAAGGACATGNATTAAACGAGACTTACCTGTAAGTTGAAGTTTGATCAAGATTCTATCTTGTCATCAGTCCGGAACGAAGGAGTCACATGCCCTTATGTACCCCCCCTCCCATGTCCTTCGTTCCTTTTTTCTCCTGCACCACTCACGTTGAATACTGATCAGCAACGCGCATGCGCTTCTCATGTGACTCCTTCGTTCCGGACTGATGACAAGATAGACTCTTGATCAAACTTCAACTTACAGGTAAGTCTCGTTTAATCTGATAATTTAAGATTAAAGATAACAGAGTAAAGAAAGCTTGACTGACCGGAGTTCATTAACTACTTATTAAACGATAGTGAGGTCTTCACTGGAAAATCCAGTCAAACCAAGACCTTGCCGTGTTGTCGGAGCGATAGCGAGGTCAATACGGCAAGGCCAAGGTTTAAGATTTTCCCGTCAGACCGAACGTTCGAGGTAAATAAGTTGTTTATTATATGACTTTTTACTTCGTGCCCTAAAACAAGAGACTAGAATTAGCCTAGAATTAGACATTCAGGGCACGCGTTATATCGGCTACAAACCCAAGTCGTACAATAAGAGCCGTCAATGAGGTTTCAGTCCATCCATGTTTACCGTTCAACACTTACAGTACCCACCAACACACGGGGATGGAGAGAGGCGCTTTCTTGCGGAATAACACAACACCATAACCCCAACTAGGGCTCGCGCTCAAACCTCTCTATTTCAAGTGTAAAACGGGCTTTTCATGGCAGCCATGACAGGGGAAAACTTTTCAGAATTGTTTGGAAATTTTAATCTGCCAATTGTGGGAACCCGGATAGAGCGGTCTGGGTTCAAGCCATGACCGCTTCATGCAACAGAAACTAGAGATAAGTGCCGGCCTGATGGGTCACTTGGCTCGTATGCAGAGTTAACATTCATTTACCTTGCCACGTTGCGTGATCTTTAAGACTATTCTTGAAAGGATGGCAAAATAAATAAACAATTCTATAGGACACTTTAATTAGAAGTCACTCGGCAGTGAAAGGTCTAACTGTCTGAGTAAAGCCATCGCTTGATATGAGAACGAGAAATGTTCGCAAGTTTCGAAAACACAACATGCTGATGCCCTTCTGGTTGATACGCTAATTCACGGGTGGGAAGAAACTTCGTTTCCGGTCTCCTGTACCCCCGGAATTGCTTCAGTGACAAGAGCATGCAGCGGATCATGCATCGGAGCTTTTTCCGCTTTGTGTGTAACCGGTTATTTCTAGCTACCAGTGACGTAGTGGTCTGTCAACCAATCAAAGTTGATCAAAAGAATTCAAACAGGTTTGTAAACTGGATATTACAAGATACAATTGTATTTGGGAGTTGTCTGCTCATCTTGATACACTGAGCCATAGCTCGAAAGCAACGAAGGAATCGAGGAACCTCAACCATGGGTGGCTTTTTGCTGACAGTCGCTGTTTTTCTTGTGCTGGTAGAAGCAGGTGAGTAGTAATATTGTCAGAAGTCCTCAGTTGAGTCACTAGTCGTTTTCATAGAAGTCTAGTCGAAGTTTGCGTGGATGAGGAAGAGCTCCTCAAGAACAGCTTTCTTCTCGCAATGCCTTAGTTATTCCAGCTATTACCTTCATGACATGAAATGTTAGTGCTGCAATCCGGCCAGAAATTAATTATTTTACGTTCACAAGCCAATGCATATGACTCGCTTTCTACCAAGTTGTAGGAGTTTATCATCACTTTTAATTATATGTCAACAGAATTCGCATTATTCAAACGTTTGTTTCATCTGATGCAAAGGCAGCTCAAGAGCAGACAGTTTGAGCCTCTTTACTCAACAGGAATCATGACTTCGCCTCATTTTCCTAATCTTTATACGCTTTAGAACGAAAGGAGTGTCAACGAAAGTTTTGTTGAGCACTGAAGTGAATGTATTTGAGGAGAACATTCGAGATATTTATTTCCGTACGATTCCCGAAACCCTCGTGACGAGTATTTATGTTTTGTGGAATAGTCAATCCGGCCTTTGTAAGTTCACTTTTAGTTTACAGAATGTGGTTGAAAGAATCGAGTCGACATACCAGTGTCAGAAAACGATATTTAACAATTATTCCATGAGCACGGGGTCAGCACGTGTTGAAAATTAAATGATTGATAACCAAAAAGGAATTGACTTGGTTATATCATCTTATAATTATGGAAAAGTATGGAAGCCCTCCAGATCATGCGAATTCAGAGAAAAACAAGAGCCTGTCACGGGGGCACATGTTCATAGAAGAACGTCGTTAGTTGTTTATTGATTTTTCGCCATCAATTCGACGAGAAAGCGTAAGGAAGGGGCAAAAATCCATCTAAACAGCACTATAATCATGTGACACATCAGCGGTTTAGAGAATCAAAGATTCAAGTGGAGATGTTACCACCGAACCCAACAGATCAGTTTTTCCAAGCTGTTATGCAAGAAAATGTGATAAAATGGCAAGTTCCTGGTAGATAAGCCCAGAAACAGGTCCGCAACTTTCCGAGAAGCACAAATAGCAAAACAACACTTGGACTTCGAGCTCTTTTTCTCAGAAATCATGTGATTTTCAGTACTTTTGTGAGTTAGTTACCAAATATGGACATGCTGTAATGCAAGTCTTTCTTCGGTGGTCCATACGAAAATAACTTGCAATATGTGGAATTTAACATAGTTAGTGAAATTAGAAAATTATTTCCATCACTTTGCTTCTTTTAATTGTGTCCAGTGACATAAAACGGGACATACCCCAAGCTATATTTGTGCCAATCAGTTTAGGTTTCAAAAGGTCGAGTGCAAAACAACATGCGAAATGAATTTCTGTTGCAAATACAAGTTTTCCTTATTCCGTTTTCTGTTTCTGTAGCCCTTCCTTACCATCCGGATGTCAGTTTTGTTTAGTGATTTACAGTGCGATCCCTCTCTACTGGCACTTTCTTTTCATCTAAGCGTAACTGAAATCTGTTTGCATTCTGTGGAATGAAAATCCGCAGAATGAAAGTTTCCGACCTTTCAGAATCTTTCTAGCAAGGAGCTGATTTTATACTCACGGTGAACTTGGGCCGCCCGCAGAGGTCTCGTTCTGCCACATACAAAACAAAATAAATCAAATGAACCTGGCTCGGCCCTAGGCCGATAAACACTTGAACGTAAATCAGAGAGGAATAATTAAGAAACAGAAAACATGTTCCGTGTTTCTATCGAATGTTAGTATAAATCTACTAGCGTTCTATCACGAATGCCGTTTTCTGATTGGCTACCCTACTCACTATCTATTCTGTGATAGATAGTGTGTAGCAGTGTGCCCTTGTTAACAAAATGACGGCCGCTTCTTGGCGTTTACGAAGTGTCTGTGAACAGGATTTAGATAAAGTTTTGAACGACCAGTAGATTTATANTGTGCCCTTGTTAACAAAATGACGGCCGCTTCTTGGCGTTTACGAAGTGTCTGTGAACAGGATTTAGATAAAGTTTTGAACGACCAGTAGATTTATACGAAAGCAATTACATTATTCGCTCTCGACTTCTATCGCGTGATAGTTGACTCAGGCTGCGCCCTCGTCAACTATCATGCGATAGAAATCTCGAGCTCATAATCTAATTGTTTAATAGAAACACGAATAGAAGTTTGGGAGAACGACAAATGCTGTGGGAACACTAGCCGTAGGCGAGCGTTTCCACAGCCTTTTCGAGTTCTCCCAAACTTTCACGAGTGTTTCTATAACTCGATAGAAACATGGAGAACATGTTTTCTATTTCTTTTAGAAAACACCGCGGCGAGAAAAAGGAAAACAACTTGTTAACTTTGAGTATCAAAGCGTAAATTCTCTTTGCTCGCGTCTTCATTAGTTCAACAGCTCGTGCTAGTTCTGTGTTTCTATGGAGTTATAGAAACACAATTTTTAACCAATCAGCGCGCGTATTTTCTCAGGACTGTTTTCTAAATCAAGAATAAAGAATATTAAAGGAATAAAGATTGTAATAAACATTAAAGTTTCAATGTGTTTTGAATGTGTTTTCCTGTTTCTCTTCCTCTTGATCAGTGACGCCTTTGAAGTGTTATAGATGCAGCGGCACTGAAGATGACTGTAAAAAGAGCACTCTGGAAGGCGAGAAGAGCAAGTATTTGATAGACTGCGATTCGTCATATGACAAATGTATGAGAACCTTTCTCAAGAAGGATAGCGCGACCTTGGTGTCGAACTCCTGTACTAACCAGCTGGGCTGTAATCAGGAGATAATCGGCTGTGGTCAGTATAACGACGTGACTTGCAAGGTTAGCTGCTGTGACGAGGACGCGTGCAACGTGGGCTCAAATGTCTCCTTCAACGTTTTCCTGTTGACCGCATTCTCTATCCTGGGCCTGGCACTACTGATGTAAGCCGTGGAGCAAGCCTTTTTACTGTTTGGTGTATTCACTGCCTTATTGATTACATAGACTCAATGCACTTCTTAGCTGTTGTACCAGAACTGCATTTTGTTCAGGAAAAAATTTCAGTCCCGGATAATTTTCAATCAAAAACTTCTTGCAGATTTTCATTCATTTCCATTTGTAACCTTTTACAGTTTCATCAAACTTTTTTTTTTAATTGTTGTATTTCAATTAGCGTTTTCACTGAAAGACGATGAGTTATGCACATTCCGTAGGGCTCTGGTTTTGAGAGATTTAAATCAAATGAATTCTTTTTAGGTCTAACCATATATTTGTAAACCCTGATCAATTTTTTACCGTGTCTAATTAAAGAATAATTAAAGATTAAAGAAAGATTGACTGACCGGAGCTAATTTTGATTAACTACTTATTAAACGATAATGAGGTCTTAACTGGAAAATATCAAACTAAGACCTTCCAGTATTGTCGGAGTGATAGCGAGGTCAATACGGCAAGGCCGTGGTTTGAGATTTTCCCGTAAAGACAGAACGTTCGAGGTAAACAAGTTGTTTATTACATGACTTTTTGCTTTGTTTTTGCAGACACTCAATCGGCTCTTGGGCCTTACGGGAATATAATGCCCTAGAACAAGAGATTAGAATTAGCCTTGAATTAGCTAATCAGGGAACGCGTTATATCGGCTACAAACACAAGCCATACAATAAGAGCCGTTAATGAGTTTTCAGTCCATCCATAGTTACCGTTCAACACTTACAGTACCCGCTAATACACGGGGATGGAGAGAGGCGCTTTCTTGCCGAATAACACAACACTATGACGTCTGTGACCCCAACTAGTGCTCGAGCACAAACCTGTCTATTTTGAGTGTAAAACGGTGTTATCATGGCAGCCATGACAATGCTCAAACAAAAGGAGATGTTTGCGTTAAAAGAGAGTTCATTTCCCAAAGGGGATAACTTTTCAAAGTTTTTGGGAATTTTAATGTGCCTGCCAGTTGTGGGAATCCGGGTGAGCGGTCTGGGCTCGAGCCATGGCCGCTTCATGCAACAGAAACTAGAGGGTCCACAATAGGGTTCTCAGATCCCGCTTTTCCGCCCATTTTTTCCTGTTAATCCCGCTATCCCGCCCTTTTTTCCCAGGAAATCCCAATCCCGCCTACTTTTTAAAGACGTTTCTGCGTTAATTATTTATTTGTTAAATCAATAATTAATTTAATCATTAACACAGAGACCTTTTAAAAATAGATATCGCATAAAATATTACCGAAGGATTCAATGGGTAGCAGTAGCCTGCGTAGCAAGCGTTTCTGTGGGGTTCGGGGCCTCGAGCAAAGAATTACAGCGTGAAAAATGGAGCGAGTAAAAGAGGGGGGAGGGGGAGGGGAGCTCCATTTTCCGCGCCGACATAACACCGAAAATCCCGTTCCTCGGTCTTTCTTTGCTTCCAACCCCACGGAAACGCTTGCTGCGCAGGCTATGGGTAGCAGATAAGTAAGCACAAAATTAATGATTATAACGTTTCTTTCTGGGAACTGTTGACCGTTTTGTTTTCTTTTTTCCACGTATTATTGAAAGAAAAAGATTTTTCATTCCTATATTCCAGACATGGCCAGTAAACACACCTGATAAATTCTTTCAAAGCTTTTAGCGTCTTCACATTCCTTGAAATCTGGGCTCAGAATTTTTCTTTCCGACTGAAGGCATTCCCGCTCGCATATCCTTTTTGTAATATATGGCCACGCAATACGTATAATATCTCATACTTCGTTCGGTAAATCATTGTCACCACCATCTATAAATGTGGCCATCCTGGCCAAAACAAGGCAAGCGCTCTAGAAAAGGTCGAAAGACTAGGAAAACTAGAAAGGATCGGGGGAAGCAGGGGTCAAGATTACATTCGCAAGTGTCCAAGATGTGGAAAATGCACAGATGTCATTCATGTCAGAGGATCGCAATAGGACTCAGACTTCATACAGTCTCATTATGCTAACTTAGTCAAGCGATAATGGATACGTTTGACAGAACCTGACAGTGTACAGAGCCGTTGCTATACATTATTTGAAACCTGACACAGCTATACGCACAAAAGGTTCATTTCTGCCCAACTTGCGGCTTTTGCGCTGGTCAATTTATGAGGTCACGTAAGAATTGAAATCCCGTATCCCGCTCTGTTCCTCTTGTGAATCCCGCATCCCAAGCTCATAGAAACCCTAAATCCCACTCCCGCTCGTAATTGTAATTCCCGCTTCCTGCCCTTGTTTTCAGCTTAAATCCTGAATATCACGGCGAAAAAAAGCCAAATCCCGCATCCCGCCAAACCTATCGGGGACCCTCAAACTAGAGATCTGACCGCCGGCCTGATGGGACACTTGGCTCATATGCAGAAGGTACCTTCATTTGCCTTACCTTTTTTAACTTTTTACTTTCTCACACTGTCCTATGCAGAAACGCCGAAGAGCCGTCGCACTAACATTTTTCAAAGAGGTCACCATCACTGCCTGATTATTAAATTATATTCTATGCTAATTTTAGGCAGAAATTCCGTGTTTCATTTCATGTGTCTGAAATGGAATTTACATTTAGTTATCAGACTGCGAGGCAATGATGAGGAAAAAAGTCCAGTTGACGTCTTAAGAAATGGTCGATCCACGCTATTTGGTCAATAATATTCGAGTGAAACCCTAGTCCATACTCTACTTGGTAACAGGAGTCCACTGGACTGATGCTTTTCCTCCCTTTAGGGCTGGAAAATTATGCTTGGTACCGCTGTTCCATTCATCCACTTTTCAAAGTTAAATTGCTACTTGCATGTTACTCAGTCCTCGTATAGGTTCACAAAATCGTGAAGACAAAGGACCTAAAGTTGCATTAAATTACAGTGATCGTTTTTGTCAAGGAAGCGCGGTTCTTGGCCAACAAGCGNGTCACGTAAGAATTGAAATCCCGTATCCCGCTCTGTTCCCCTTGTGAATCCCGCATCCCAAGCCCATAAAAACACTAAATCCCACTCCCGCTCGTAATTGTAATTCCCGCTTCCCGCCCCCGTTTTCAGCCCAAATCCCGAATATCACGGCGAAAAAAAGCCAAATCCCGCATCCCGCCAAACCTATTGGGGACGCTCGTATTTCTTCGCGCGGGCCCTGGGTGTAGTAGGTGTTACCTTGACGACCACTTTTATTTAGTACTCCCCTGGCCGTCAAAACTCCTTGGCATTTTTTTTTCCCTTCCTTTTTTCTTCCGCTCACTTCATTTCTTTCCTCTTCATTCGCTAATTACTGGACCTCGGTTTGAGGTAACCGCAACAGAAGTAGCGAGACGTCTGTAAAAGTTTGGCGGGAAAAATCCAGAACGGTGATCAGAGCGGCCAGCGGGCCGGCGATGAAAGCGAACAAGACTGAGAGAAAGCTAAACCAGGTAAGCGGCAACAGTCTTTTTCTGTAGCCTGTAGGTTTATAAGCTTATATGTTTGGTTCGATAAGGAACATTTGCTTTTGCTCAATTAAAGGAGGAAATTGGGAAATTAGGTTTGCTTTGGACAATCTGTGGTTTGGCGATGAACTCGTATCTGCCCAAGACATACAGTACTTCGGTGTTGTTTAATTTTAATTTTTATATGGAGTTTTCTCAAGCGTCGTAACATTTCCTGAAATCCTTGCTGGAGAAGTAGAAGAAGGATGAAATTTTCATGCTATATGCGAGTCAAACGTTGACAACGTTGTGTTGTGAGCTCTTGTCGAAATTTTAACTACTTATGATCTGTCGAGTTTGGCATGATGAAAGATCAGTAACACAATGAGATGTGCCTGTCACGCGTTTTTAATTTAATTCTTTTTGTTTGGACGGGAAAGAGATAGATGTGAGATAGTATTTTAAAGTTGAAAACATGGCAGGCCATCTGCTAAGCCAAACGATGTTGAGTCGAACCATTTTGGTCGGGAAATGGGTTTCAGACATTGCCTATATATGTTTTGAACTGAAACGGAAGGAATTTTTTTTTACGCAGTGGCTATTCGTACGGCACCCGTACGGCAACTTGTATTTCCTATTCGTACGGGAGTCAGAAGATTTCATTGAATTTCTCTGTAATTGCTGATTCTTTCTTATCCAAATTATTATATTTACCTTTAGAAAAAATAAGCGATTCCAAAGAGTGCCGTTTCTTTGAGCCAGATTAATTTGCGTACTCTCTGCATACTAAGCGAACGACCCACTCGCGACACTCCAAATTTTTTCCGAGCTAGTTAGTACTCACACACATGTCACGCTACCTCTGGTTCACAGATTTACTTGCTACAAAGTACACTGTAGGTTGAAAAAGTGCGAACTGAATTCCTTTTAGCCTTTTAAAAACTTAGAATACATTGACTTGGATCGGGTGGTAAGTGACAACATGGAACTTCTCTGAATTTGGACTCTTGTTGGTAGTCCCGTACGAATTATTCGCATTTTTGCTATTAGCTGCTATTCATACGGGAATTTTTCCTGCTTCCATGGCAGACGCAGTTTCAGTCAGCGTTAGATAGTTCTTTTCGTATTTAGTCCGGCTACTCACGGTTAGTTTACCGAAGGATGGATGTTTCGAACGTTTTCTCCTTTCAAATCAGGTGAGGAATACATGCACACTGAATCTTGTAACGCAAACTGTTTCACGAAAATACGGCTGGACAGGTGTTGTCTGAGGAAAGTGTTCAACTATGACATTCAAAAACAGGTTAGCGATTCTTAAATTTAATGGTAACTTTTAGTTATACTCGAGGAATCCGGTATGAATAGCAGATACCAGTCGCTGTACGGTCCCTTCTTACCGCGTGACATGCGTGTGAGTATTAACTAGTTCGGAAAAAATTTTAAGGGTCGTTCGCTTAGTATGCAAAGAGTACACAAATTAATCTGGCCCGAAGAAACGGCACTCATTGGAATCGCTTATTTTTCCTAAAGGTGAATATAATAATTTGGATAAGGAAGAATCAGCAATTACAGAGAAATTCAATGAAATCGTGTGACTCCCGTACGAATAGGGAATACAAGTCGCCGTACGGGTGCCGTACGAATAGCCACTGCGTTTTTTTTACAATCACGGGCCGATAATTTACCGGGTCTTTCGTGAAACGGGGCTCTGGTCTGCGGGGTGAAGTGGGAACTAACATTTGCTAGGTTTAACCAAAGTTTCTTTCTGTTTACCATCACTGTTGCTTTTTTTATAATTATCTTAAATGTACCCTTCTATATATTATGCCTTTAAATATTTATACGGTCCCCGGAATATCTGTACCCACCCTGCGGGAGGTCATTGGAAATTCCAAGTGGAATTTGAAAAGTTAAAACTGTTTTAAATGTCAAGGAATTCCCAAGGTTTTTATGGGTGGGGTTCCTATGATGGCAT